GGGGCCCTCTGGCGTCCCAAGCCAGCTCTTAACCAATGTGCCACTCGGCTGGCCCAACACTAATATTTTTTATCTAAGTACCTAGTTCCTTTCCCTGCTCATATTTGGCTACCCTCCTAACCTACTTTTTTGTTAAGGTGGTTCCATTTTTAAAAAACCTTTCTTAACTAGCTCCTTGCTTTCTGACCACTCCCCCTCTCCTACCTAGGTACATAGGTTTCATTTTTCAATACATTGAGTCCAGAGCACCTTTGTCAATCTTGGAAGGGGCTAGTTGATATTAACAAATGAAGACAATTCCAAACTTACTACTACTACTAAGTCTGCTTTACAGAAGTTTGCTTATAACTTGTCACCTGGAACTCAGAAATATGTCCTCAAATAAATTATAAGTGATGGTTAAGCTTCCCAGGTAGCCCTACAAATGCCATTTCCTATTAAGTGAGCTGAGCTACAGTAAGTTATTCTGGATATCTGGATAAAAAGAAACACTTCTTTCTTCTTTCTTGGCATAGATCCTAATCAAAATATCTAAATGGGCAGGCATGGCATGTACATGTATGCATGTCAGGGATCATAGCTGTCTGCTTAGAGCATTGTGGAATATCAATTATTCCTATAGGTTACAGTTTCTTCTCCTCCTTTACTTTTGAACACAGACTTAGTTGTGTAGATTCCCCCCGACTCCACCCAGGGACCTCATGGAAAGCAGCAATGGAAGTTCAGCTTAAATAGAGAGAGAAACAGTAGAAACCATAGAAGAATCACATAAACGTACAAACAATGGGGCAATTTTCCTCAGCCTAAATATATCAGGTCAACCTTCTTACAACTAAGTTAAGTTATTTTTACAAACTTGAACTAGATCAATATGCATACCTTCCCTCTGCTCTTTTAATTTCTTCCGGAAAACTTCAGCCCGGATCTCTTCAAAGGAGAACTCTCCCACTCCTGCGTAAATCTTCTCCTTACAGTACATCATCTTCTCTTTCTTCTCCTCAGAATCTTGCTGATGGCTTTGAACTCTTTGCAGGAGATCACCTTCTTCTTTTCCAGGCTTTCTTGTGCTTAGAATGTGGTTTATACTGGGTTCAATTTTACACGGTGTCCTAAAAGATGCAAAATAATTATTATTCATCATATAGGTCAAATGAGTTATTTCTTATATCACAGGGACAATGCCAGCAGCAAGAGTATATGTGATCAATTAAAAAAAAAAAAAAGTTGAGCATGGAGCCTAAAAATAATTTACATGGGTCATTGACAATTATGTTCTGAGTACTACTCTATTATGATAAGGAAGGAAATTAGCCATTAGTTAGTCATCANTCCCTAGCGCTGCTCCCATACACCCAATTCCCCAATTGAAAAAAAAAAAAAAAAGATCAGGACTGAGGAACAACCATGGATTTGGCAAAAACGGAGGTTTCTGGGACCATGATCAGAACTGTTTAACTGGAATAGAGGGATACTTGAGGAAATAATAGGTAGTGAAGAAGATTACAATTCCCAAGAAATTCTGCTATGAAGGAAAAAAAATGGGGTAGTAGCTGGAGAAGAATATGAAGATAATGAGGACATTTTTTTAAAGAATTGGAGACAATGAGAGTGTGTATATATGATGGTGAGAATGATTTAGTAGAAAGAGAAAAGGCTGGGGGTGGGGAATAAAGGGTCATTCCTTTGATAAGAACAGAAAAATGTTCATTTTAACAGAATGTTAGAGTGCACAGATATGGATTACTGATATGGTAGATGTGGTGGAAGAAAATGGAGTTACCTTTATATTCCTTCTAATTCCCCAATGAAGTAAGAAGCAAGATCATAGCTAAGGAAGGGCAGGGATATAGAAAATTTGAAAATGTGAGAAAAATTAAATTAGTTGTTTAGCAAAAAGAAGAAATTCACCTACCAGGAAACTGTAATAGACTTCTAGGCACTAGTGAATGCTCATTTGAGATCTGTGGTGGTGAATTTAAAATGAGACCAGTATATACAGTTGCATTTTCCTCCAGCTGTATTTAAAGTACTTGGATGCAGATACAAAGTGTGAGCAGATATTGAATTTAATCAGGGTTCACGTTTTGCTGGGTGAATACAATATAGAGATAGAAGGATAGAGGGGTTAAGCGTATTTGCAAGGGATTCACTATAATAACAATCATTGACTCTGAGCTGGAAAGAAAGGAAATCAGGACATTAGGATGGTAATGAAAGGTAAAAAATATAATTGGTAGGGATGGACTGGTGGAGATTTCAATAAGACTAAAGAATTCCAGGAATGGAGTCCTAAAGTAAGTAAGCTAGAAGAGAAGTGGTCAAAGAAAAGGACCTTCAAAAGAGTTAATGGGTGATAAGGTCAACAGTTAAGACCATGAGAGTTGGTGGTGAGTAGTGGTAAGGAAGAGATCACAGGAGGTATGGTAGTCATGGAACTGAGGAGCCATGGTACTGGGTGGTGTAGGGGTGGAAAGGAAGACATAGGGCCAGGTGCTTAGTCACTTAATGAATGATGGGGTGTGACTAAAAAGTCTGANTTCCTTTGTAGGCATCTTCTCTTCTTGCTATTTGCATTAAATAAACAAAATCAATTTGTCCCTTCTATCTAGAAAATGCTACCTATTTTCAATCTTTAGTTCCAAAATTAGCTTTACGATTTTTTCCCTCCAGATATCCACTAACTGTATAAAATGTCTGTTCCACAAAAGTTCTTTCCAATAATTTATGTTCCTAGTATAAACTGGTACTTTGTACTTGACAGAGCAGTGCCAAGCATATACTGAATTTCTTTAACCTCATTTTAATGGAACATGACTAGAATAAAAAACTAAAGTTAGAGGTCACAAAACAATGGTTTAGAGTATAACTAAGAAATCAATAAATTGCATCACTTATATCACATGCTACAAATTCCATTTGAAGTCACCTGTTAAATTACTTTCCTGCTCTTAATAGCTAAGAAACCACAAAAAACTCTAAATGGAGGCTGGGAGGACTTTTACCTTCATGATTTTAAATTGCTTAAACTTGTTTTAATAAGCTTTAGTTTTATGTATTAAAAAAAGAGAAATAACCTGGTCACCCGCTCTTTCTTGCAGAGTGGTTTGAATTTCTTTTAGCTTCTTCTCCATCTCTTCAATTTGTTTCTGCATTTCTGCTCTCTTCTCTGCACTGGTCAGTAGCTCAGCTAAAAACAGTAAAGTTGGCTGAGGGCACTTACTCCTCATAGCAACTGATTCTGTCAAAAACTGTCTTTGGGGCTCATGCTCTCAATATATATGTTAATATTACAAATGAGAATGATGTAAGTAGAGCAGAGTCCTCAACTTGAGGTCTCTAT